TGCCTGCCCCAGGTAAACACCGAGATCCGGAACCCGAGGGCACCTCCCTCCCCTCTGTTCTCTGCCCCTCGGCCGCCCCGGGCCGGGCTGGACCACAGCCCGTGCCTAGTGTCCCCAAGGGCTCCTGTGTGCGCTGACCGCCCTGTCCCCAAGCGCCCAGCCTTGGCCTCAGCCCCGTGGCTAATGTCTGTTTGTATCCATCTCACTCTGGTGGCTCCTGACCCCTGGGTGCCCCCTTCCCCTCACCCTGGTTTGTCTGTGGTTCTGTCCTCCTAGGCACTAAGCCTTGTTTTCATTTTGTCATTGTCCCTTTCGCCACAATCAGCAAAGCCCTGGGCTCTCCCAAGCCAGGCTCGATTCGTTTTTGTTTTGCCAGTCCTGGGGCTTGAACTCAGGGCCTGGGCACTGTCCCTGAGCTGCTTTTGCTCAAGGCTAGCACTCTACCACTTGAGCCACAGGGCCACTTCAGGCTTTTTCTGTGTATGTGGTGCTGAGGAATCGAACCCAGGGCTTCATGCATGCGAGGCAAGCACTCTACCACCGAGCCACCTTCCCAGCCCCTCCCTGAGCAATTTGGCTCAAGGCAAGCCTTCTACCACTTGAGCCACAGCTCCACTTCCAGTTTTCTGGTGGTTTACTGGAGATAAAGAGTCTCAGACTTTCCTGCCCCAGCTGGCTTTGAACCGTGATCCTTAGATCTCAGCTTCTTCAGTAGCTGGGATGACAGGCGTGAGCTACCAGCACCTGCCTACAATTCCCCCCCCCCCACCCCCTGCCCCTTACTTTGTGAACTTCTCTTTCTCTTCAACTCTGGGGGTGTTGGAGACCTGGGACCCCAGACCACCCCCACACCCCCCCCAGGCAGATTCTACCATGCCAGGATCTCAGGGGAATGTAAGGCCTCCAGCCTTTTGCCCCAATCCACTCGTGTACATATATAAAGGTATATGCACATATTATTTATATCTGTCCAGGAGTAGAGGGGCAGACACTGGGGCCTTTGTGTAGCCTCTGCCTGCTGCCCGCCTGCCCGCCACTCCTCTCCCTTCGTCCAGGCCGCCTCCACTCCCCCCGCACACAAAGGTTCCTGTGAGGCCTGCCAGCTTCCTCTGCCCAAGGTGTGAGTGGGAATACCATGGGGGGGGGGGCAGGAGGGCTGGGGGGGGGGGGGCGGTCTAGTGCCTAAGGAAGCTTTTTCCAGGTGGAGAAAACCTGGGAGCTCTCGGGGCTGGGGCCTGTCCCCCATCCTTACCTGGCCTCTCCCTAGGGGCCTGGGCATCTCCACGTGTCACTTCTTCTCTGTCATTGTGAGTTTCCTTCACATAGTTATGGGACACCGGGCGTAAGAGGACCCGGATCACAAGATACGGGAGGGAGAATGTGGGTCCCCGCGGGGTTCTTCACCATTTCTTTTCTCCGCCACTCTGCATTTTCTCTTCAGCCGCTGTTTGACAACTCCGACCTGTTCCCATTGAAAAATTATCCATTGTCAGGAGCCAGCGGCTCCCATCTGTAATCCTACCTACTCAGGAGGCTGAGATCTGAGAATTGTAGTTCAAAGCCAGCCTGGGTAGGAAAGTCTGTAAGACTCTAATCTCCAAGGAACCACCAGAAAATCAAAAGTGGCTCAAAGAGATAGAGCACTAGCCCTGAGTGAAAGAGTTCAGGGACAGGTCCTGAGTTCAAGTCATAGGACTGCCCCCCCCCCACTATTATTCATAGTTTTGTGTGTGTGTTCATGTGTGCCCTGATACTGGGGCTTGAACTCAGGACCTGGGCACTGTCCCTGAGCTTTTACTCTCACGCCTGATCCTCTACCAATTGAGCCACAGCTCCACTTCCAGCTTTTTGGTGGTTCATTGGAGATTCACATCGGAGGGGCTTTCCTGCTCGGGGCTGGCTTCGATCCAAGATCCTCAGAGCTCAGCCTTCCAAGATTACAAGCCCAAAGTTCTCCCAGTGCTGAGCCCCACAGCACCCTGATGTTCCTCCATGATGCTTCTGACATCATCTCCTGCGACTTTTCCTTGTGTGGTAGTTTATTGTCCCCCTTGGCCAGGTGTGCAATGAACAGGTTTCTACCTCAGGGCCACGGAGAGAGTGCTACCTACCAGTGCCATGTCCCTCATATCCACACGTCAGTGTGACTCCCCAGGGAGCCTTCCCATGCCATACTCTCAAATTAGCCACCTGCAGCCTGGTGCTGGTGGGCTCATTCCTGTCATCCTAGCTACTCGGGAGGGAGAGATCTGAGCATCATGGTTTGAAGCCAGCCCTGGCAGGAAAGTCCATGAGACTCTTATCTCCAACCAACCAGCAAAAAATCTGAAGTAGAGCTGTGGCTCAAGTAGTAGAGTGCCAGCCTCAAGTGAAATACGCCTAGGGGACAGAGCCTCGGCCCGGAGTTCAAGCTCCAGTACGAGCATGAACAACAAAACCACAAAATAGCCATCTCCGTCCTTTTCTCTTCCCTTTTGTCTTCGTGGGATGCTTTCCAGGGTCTGTCTGTGGCCTCCCTTTACCCATCAGCTGTGAGGATGTGGGACACAACAGCCAAATTAGAATCTGATTCTCCGCTCTACCCATAGCACCTGTCCCAGGACTTGGCACACTGACAGATGCCAAGTAAATATTTGCTGAGGGAGAAAATGCGCTCATGAATCTACACATCCCTTAGCCCAGCAGTCTTGAGCTGGGGGAAAGCCTGGGACCCAATGGTGACCAAGATTCCCGTCCCTGTCTTCAGGAGACTCTCAGCCAGGAAGGATGGAGAATGGGTAGGACTGGGGACCAGGGAGCAAAAAAGAAGGGGGGAGAGAAACCCAGGAAAATGGGGGTCCAGCAGAGGCTTCTTACACAAGCCAGTGGAGGGGGGGGGGGAATCAGGCAGGGCTTCCTGGAGGTGGTGGCTGAGCTGAGACTTCTAAAATTAAAGAAGAAGAATGAGCCAGCCTCTGCTCCTGGCCTTCCCTTTCTGTTCCTCTCAGAAAGCTTTCCATGGAAGGATGCCTTAAGTTTTGCAGTCCTGGCCTGTGCCTTGACCTAGACATCAGTCTCCTAGCTGCTACCTTTGATTTGAGTCCATTTTTGGCGCTGGGCATAGAACCCAGAGACTCATAAACTAGCCAAGTGCTCCCCCCCCCCCCCCCAGCCATCTCCCCATCCCATCCCTCCGCTCCTTGGAAATCCCAATCTCTGCACACATTTCTCCCCCCAGTTCCCTCTTCTAAGCATCTGTCACAGCAGGGACAGCCTTCAGGCTCCTTCCTCTCTTGGGGAACCTTGTTACCTACTTACTGACCCCCAAGTCAATCTGAACCTCTCCACCTGTCCCCACCCCACACTGGGGGAAGGGGGACTAGCCCAGCCCCCCACACCCACACAGGTCAGGCCTCTGCTGTGTTAATGATTAACCCGGGCTCTATCTAGAATACACACTGGCCAGGCTGGGGGGTGACTCCCCTGTCCTCCAGCCACCCACCCCCCCAACCAGCTGCTCTTAAAGGACCAGGTGTCCTCCGCAGCTCTTGTACCCCCCACGGTGGCCTGACCAGGTGTGTGGAGGTGGCCGCCAGCTGTGAGGATTTGGGGGAGGGGGAAGACAAACCAGCACTTGGCGCTGCAGAGCTGGGTGAGGAAAGGAGTAGGACTGGCCCAGGTTGGAGCTGCGTCCAGCACCTCTTGCCCATGCTTATCACCTGCAATATTTAATCAGGGGTGGTTTTTCCCAGCCCTGCCCCACAGCCCAGGCTGGCAGTGCCAGGGGTGGCAAAGCGTCTGAGAGGTGATGGATGAGGGGGGATGGGACCCTTCCTTGCTGAGGGTCCTCCCTCCAGAGACGTGGGGTGAAGCCTGGGTCCTTAAAACTGTGGGGCTGCAGATGGGTGGTGTGTGGGCGATGCCGAGGGCAGGATGTTAGGGGGGTCCAGATACGTGTGTTATGTTGGTCCTGGGGCTTGAACTGAGCCTAGGTGCTGTCCCTTCCCAAGGCTGGTACTCTACCACTTGAGCTCCACTTCCAGCTTTTCGCTGGCTAATTGGAGATCTCGGGCCTCAGGGACTTTTCTGACCATCCTGGCTTGGAACCTCCGTCCTCAGCTCGCAAGCCTCCCGAGTGGCTGGGATTATAGGCGTGCGGCACCGCACCCAGCAAGGCTCTCCAGATTCCGGGTGACTGAACACTGGTCTGGGGCCACCCTTGGGTCCCAAAGCTCTCTCAATGCTGTGCGGAGACAGAGGACCTTTGGCTCAGCACCCCCCCCCCCCCCCTTCTAGGCAAAGTCAGGAGGTCTCAGGGGTGGGGGCTGGGCTTCTGGGGCTCCCTCCTCCCTTTAACTCTTGCTCTGCCAAAGCCTGCCCTGGCCACGCCCCTGTGATGTCAGCAAGCAGGAAGTCCTGGTTAATGATCAGTCGCGGGGACAGGTGTGGGACCGGGCCTTGCACATCAGAGGCAGCCGCGGGGGCTGGGTGCCTTTCATCAGGCTCCTCAGACACCAGGTTCCAGGGTGGCCGCCAGCTCCAGGGTTAGGAGGCCAGCCCAGGGTCCCCGAGTGTGTGTTGGTAAGTGGCTGAGTGCTGACACCACCTAGAGCAGACACCCCGTTAGTTCATCTAGGGAGGTAAATGCACTCGGCAGTCCCTCTAGTAGTCTAGCCTCAACTCTCTTAACTGCCCCATTTTCCTTAGGAAATCTTGTGCTGCCTCTTCTCCTTCCCCCTCGTGGGTGCCACACATCACGGGAAGATGATTCAGGGGTTCCCTCAGGTAGGGGGCAACCTCTCCGTGGGTTCCCCCCCCCCACCCCCTCTCCCGGCCTCAGTCCTGTCACCTGGAAAACCCGCCCACAAGGACAACTTCCGACCCGCTGGACCCCCTGGCCTGGGCGAAGGGCGCCACCTGCCGACGCCGAGCGGGCAGCGCGCGCGGCCGGGGCCCTGCAGGCCGCGGCCCCGGCCCGCAGAGGGCGCAGCGCCGCACACAACGGAGGAGCCAGCCGCGGCGGGGAGGAGGAAACATCTTTCCGTTTATTGAAGGAAGAAGAGGCAGGAGAGAGGGGAAAGGGCGGTGGAACGCTTTTGCTTCGTTTATAAAGAGCGCGTTTTCGGGAGGCCCCCTTCTCGAGGGGGAGCGGGGCGCCTTCTTCCCCCAACTACAAGCAGCAGCAAAGAAAAGCCAAGCCAAGGAGGGGAGAGGGGACACTGCACTGGAGGGGCCCGGGGAACCCCAAGCTTCCTTCCCCCCCGCATCCCACCCCACAATGCATCTACTTCGGGGGGGGGCCAGTGTGGGTGGAGAAGGGGGGGTATGTACACGGGGGGGTGGCACTGGGTGTGGGGAATAATTTATCCGCAGCTGTGGCGGGGTTGGGGGGGACACCACGGGGCGGGGGGGGGGGGAGGCGGGGTGCGGGGCCCTAGGGGTCCCGTTCTTTCTTGACCTTGATGTCTCCGGCCAGGATGGTGGCGATCTCGCCCTGCATGAAGGCCCAGGGCACCGAGGAGCCCACCAGGGGGCACTTGTCGCCGCTGGGGCAGTACACCTCTCCGGCGGGGCCCTGCGCCTTGATGAACTCTCGCGAGCACGGGAAGCAGAACTTGTGTCCGGGCACCGAGGGGCACTGGACGAAGTGGGTGTCTTCCAGGCGCTCGCGGCACAGGGTGCAGCACAGGGGGGCTCCGGGGGGAGCCCCCGTGCCGCTCCCGCCCCCGCCGCCGGCCTCGGCCCCCGCGGTGGGGCTGACTTCCGCCTCCCCGATGCGCGCCACCAGGCGATGCTGGGGTGCGGGCGGCTGGGCCGTGGAGGAGGCGGCGGGGCTGGCACCTCCGGCGCGCCCGGGGCCTCCGCCCCCACCGGGGTCCTTGGGCGAGTGGCCCAGGGCCTCGGCTACATTCTTCAGGGCGGCGATGGGGGAGGGCACCCCGGGGGTCTCGGCCGAGTAGGGGCCGCCGGGGGCCACCCAGTGCCGTTGCTGCTGCTCCTCGGAGGTCATCTTGCCGGCGCCCTCGCCCTCGGGTTCAGGGGAGGCCTTGCGCCGGCGCGGGGTGGGCGCCAGGTTCCGGGATGGGGCTCGGGGTGGGGGTCCGCACAGAGCGGCCTGGGTGGGCTCTGGGTACTGCTGGGGCAGGGCCTCGGCGGGCGCGGGCTCGCGGAAGCTGCGGACCCCGTCGGTGAGCAGCTCGCCCAACTGGCGCCATTCGCCCGAGCCGTGGCGGCGTTCGTATTCGAGGTACTTGAAGCCGGAGGAGGCCAGGGCCTTGCCCGGTTCCCGCAAAGCGTCGTGAAACATCTGGCGAGCCACGGCCAGGACCCCCGCGTACACGTTGCCCGAGCCACAGGGATACTCGGTGAAGAGCTTCAGCTCGAACTCGTAGCCCGGAGGGCGGGCGGCGGCATCGAAGGCGAACACGCGCCCCACCAGCCCGTGATCCTTCTTGAAGCGGACGTTGAAGGGGGCGCAGGCGGACAGCGCCAGCAGCTGCTCCCGCACGGCCTTGGGGCGCCCGTGCCACTCCTCCGCCCGGCCCCGCATGGCCTCGTTCAGTTCCGCCAGACAGTCCGCATTCCTCTGCTGCTTCTCCTTCTCGAAATCGGAGCCGAAAAGTGGCCGAGCAGGGCTCAAGCCGGGTGCCAGCGTCAGGGCCCGGCCTCCCAGGCCCGACACCGCAGCTGCCAGCAAGCCGGGGGGCATCAGGCTGGGCATGGAGCCCAGCAGGGCCCTGCGCGCCCCTTCGGCCACGGCCTCCTCGCGGCCCAGCCCATTGGCCAGGCGGGACCCCAGGGTGTACTCCAGGGCCGGGGAGGGCAGCGGGAGGCGGCCCGACGAGGTGGCCCTGTCATAGCGGTCCGGGCCCGAGACGCCCCCGCTGGTCCCCGAGGGCTGGGCCTGGGCCTGCGGGGGAGGCAGCTGGGGCCCTGGCGCGCCGCTCGCCGCCAGGTCCTTGCCCGTCGGGTGCTTGAGGGCCGGGGGCCCGGGCGATCGGCCCTCGGGGAGCACGTGGCTGCGCTTGAGCTGGCGAGCGGCGTCGATGAGCAGCTCGATGCGATCGGCGCCCTCGAAATTCACGCACCCGCGGCACACGGCCTCGCTGAAGTCCCACACCATGGCCCACGGCATCTTGGGCAGGTCGCACAGGTAGCACCACTGGCGGCGGGACGCCTGCACCGACGCCATGGCCCCCGCGCGCGCCCCGCCGGGCCCCCGCCGCCCGCTCGCGTCCCCGGGGCTGCGCGAGCCGCAGGCCGGCGTCGGGATCGGCCTCGCCGGCGGGCCCAGGCCCGGCCCCCCTTCCCCGCCCCCTGAGCTGCCTTTTTTTTTTTTTTTTCCTTTTTACTCACTCCCGCCTCTGGGGGAGGAAAAGCAAATGCACCGGCAACACGTCGGTAGCACCGCCCGATCCCCGAGGCGTACAGCTCCGGCCGTAGGATGAGGCACGGCCGCCGCCGCCCCGGGCTCCCGCCGCCGCCGCCGCCGCCGCCGCTGCTGCCGCCGTCGCCGCCGCTGCCGTCGCCTCCACCTCTTTCTGCCCCAGAGGCCGCTTCGCAGGGAAAGTTACATAACGCGCGGGCAAAGCCTTCTGGGAAATGTAGTCCCGCCGGGGCCTGTTCTTAAAGGGGACGGCGGGCAGCAGGGGAGGTGGGGGCTCGCGGCCGGCACGGGGTGCGAAAGATCGGAGCTACCGCCGATTCATAAACGCACAGGAATTGGGCAGGCTGTCGGTGGCACGGTTTCCGCTCCGATTGGTGGTGCAGCTTTTAGGCCACAGCCAGGCCCTCTCTGAGCCTCAGTTTCCCCGCCCATCGGAGGGGAACCAATTAGGAAGGCGGCATCTCTTGGGGCGGAGCGGAAAGGTCCTGATTGGATGGCTTCAGACCTGGGGACGGGGAAGCGAGCAACTGCGGCTGGCCTGGTAACCCGCATGCCCCCAGTAACGGGACAGGGATAACTTGGCAACTTTGTCTCTCCTCAGAATCCTACCTACCGGTTTCTGGGGTCGGCCATCTGCGGAGAAAGAAAACTGAGGATTATCGCACGAAGCCCCCTGCCTCAGTTTCCTCATCTGCCAAAGGAGGGGTGTGACTGAGCTCGCTCCCAACTCCCTCAACTAGGCCGGCGCGCTGCGGTGCTCAAAGGGTTACACAGTCTGCTCTTCGCTCCCTCTCACATTTCACTACAACTCCCAGAATGCTCTGCGGGGCGGACGAATTGACGCACTTCCGCTGTGTGGAAGGTTAGGGAAGGCCTTCCCGCTTCCCGCCGCCTCCGCGCCCCCCCCCCCCCATTCTGGGGTTCTGTCTGTGTGATCGGAACCCCGTGTTTGATGGACCCTTCCCATCTATTGCGCCCCAATCTTGATGTTAAGGCCAAGAGATGCGGGGAGCACAAGAGCCACATCGCCTCTGCCTAACCTTGAATGCTTACCACCTGGTGGGCCCAGCCAGGCTAAGGGGGGTGCGGGGGGGGGGGGGTGCGGGGGAGACCCTCAGTTTTCTTCTGCCGGGAGTCAGGAGTCAGGAAGGGTTCGAGTTAGGTTTAGGGTAGGGCGATGCGGGTTTCCAGGTTCCAGACCCCATCAGCCCCTTCCTGCTGCAACTGGGCCTGTGTTACTGTTGCGCTCTCAAAACATATTCGGGGTGTTTTGTATCCAATCCTGGTTTTATTCTTAGGCTACACACACACACACACACACACACACACACCAATCCTGGTTTTATTCTTAGGCTACACACACACACACACACACACACACACACCTTTTCCCACCAACCACCTTAGCCCCGATTTTCTGTATCCAATCCTGGTTTTATTCTTAGGCTACACACACGCACACACACACACGCACACACACACACACACACACACACCTTTTCCCACCAACCACCTTAGCCCCGATTTTCTGCTATCCAAACTTGTTTCAAGCCTGTATGTTGTGTGTGTGGGGGGGGGGGTTGCCTATTTTTGCCCCATCCTGGGGAATATTATGTTTTCAATCTCGAACAATTTTAGAGGATGTTGGGAATGGAATCCAGACCCAACCTGCATGTACAAGACTTCTCTACCACTGAACCACACACCCTGTCTTGTCTTTTTTTTTCCCCCCTTTGGTATGTCTTGAGACAGGATCTTATTATAGAGTTTAGGCTGTTAAACTCTCGATCCTCTTAATAACCTTCAGAATGCTGGGATTACAAATGTGTATCACCAGTCCCAGCTACTTTAAAAATAAAAACAAAACCACACACAGGCATACCTGTTATCCTAGCTACTCAGGAGGCTGAGATCTGAGGATCCCGGACAGCAAAGTCCGTGGATTTATTTCCAATTAACCACCAAAAAGCCAGACATAGAGCTATGGCTCCGTGGGTAGAACACTAACCTAGGGTGAAAAAGTTAAAAGGACAGAGCCCAGGCCCTGAGTTCAAGCCAGAATTGAAAGCCTAATACAGGAGGAAAAAGAGAGAGAGAGAGAGAGAGAGAAGCACTCCATTGCTCTCTCTCTGAAAAGTTCCTTCTTATACTGTAGCAAATATCAGTACTAAAAATTCTGAAGCTGGGCACCAGTGGCTCACACCTATAATCCTAGCTACATAGGAAGCTGAGATCAGAGGATCTTGGATCAAAGCTAGCCCAGGCAGAAAAGTCCTTGTGAGACTCTTATCTCCCATGAACCACTTGAAAACTGGAACCAGCCCTGTGGCTCAAGTGGTAGAGTGCTAGCCTTGAGGACAAAGAAGCTCAGGGACAGTGCCCAGGCTGAATTCAAGCCCTACAACCCACAAAAAAAAAAAAAAAAAAAAAAAAAAGCTAAGCCAGGTGCTGGTAGCTCACACCTGAAATCCCAGCTACACAGGAGGCTGAAATCTGAGGATCGTAGTTCAAAGTCAGCCCAGACAAAAAAGTCCTTCATGAGACTCTTATCTCCAATGAACCACTCAAAAATTGGCAATGGTGCTGTGGCTCAAGTGGTAGAGTGCTATCCTTGAGCACATAAAGGCTCAGGGACAGTGCTTAGACCTTGAGTTCAAGCTCCAGGACTGGGAAAAAAAAAATTCTGGCAAGATTCAAGCTTGATGTCAAACTGTCTGACCTATCACCAGCTATGGCCTCGGCCAGGTCTCCAGACTTTTTCAGGGTTTGAACTCACGGTCTACACATTTAACATGGCCCTCTAACACTTAAACTACACCTCTATCCGCTTTTGCTTTTATTATTCAGAAATCTTATATTTTTGCCCAGCTAGCTTGAATCTTCTCGATCCTCTCCTAATACCTCCCCTGGGTAAGCTGGAATGACAGGCTCAAGACACAGCTCCTAAATTAACAATGACATCTTTTTTTGGGGGGGGGGTCTGGTTGTGGGGCCTGAACTCTGGGCCTGGATGCTGTCCCTCAGCTCTTCAGCTCAAGGCTAGCGCTCTACCATTTGAGCCACAACGCCACTTCCAGCTTTTTTCTTTCTGCTTATGTGGTGCTGAGGAATCGAACCCCGGGCCTCAGGCATGCAAGGCAAGCACTCTACCACTGAGCCACCTTCCCAGCCCTAACAATGACATCTTACTAGTGTTTTGCCCAGTCTAGCTTTGAACTCAGTCCTTCAGAGTAGCTAGGATCACAGGAGCAAGCCACTGTGCTCAGCCAAGTCTCTAAACTTTTAAGTCTGGAACTGGAGATGTGGCTCAAGTGGGAGAGTGCTGGCTATGAGAGAAAAGGCTGAGGGCTGGGAAGGTGGCTCAGTGGTAGAGTGCTTGCCTTGCATGCATGAGGCCCTGGGTTCGATTCTTCAGCACCACATAAACAGAAAAAACCAGAAGTGGTGCTGCAGCTCAAATGATAGAGCACTAACCTTGAGCTGAAGAGCTGAGAGACAGTGCCCAGGCCCAGCGTTCAAGCCCCATGACAAAAAGGAAAAAAAAAAAAAAAAAAAAAAGGAAAGAAAGTTAAGGTATTGTGTGAAGCATTTAGTTCAATCCCAAGTACCAGCATGCATTTACAATGTTGTTCTTGTTGCTGGGACTTCAGCTTGTTAGTTGTTTTGGATTGAAACTCAAATGTGCATGTAATAGCACGTGGCTTGTTGCTATAGAAGTACCATAGGCTGGGGTGTAGCTGAGGTCCAGTGTTTGCTTAATAAGCCTGGGTTCAACACGCTCCTTTACCTCTCATTTGCCAGTCCTGGGGATTGAATTCTGGGTCTGGACACTGTCCCTGAGCTAATCCTTAGCTCAAGGGGAACACTCTACCACTTGATCCTCAGTCACTTCCAGCTTTTTTGAGTAGTTTATTGGAGATGAGTCTCACAGACTTTCCTGCCTGGGCTGGCTTTGAACTGCCACCCATCTCAGCCTCCTGAATAGCTAGGATTACAGCCATGAGCCACTGGCGCCCAGCTTCATGGAATTTTTTCTGGTTCTCAGGCTTGAACTCTGGGCCTGGGCACTGTCCCTGAGCTGTTTTTGCTTAAGGCTAGCACTCTACCACTTGAGCCACAGTGCCACTTCCAGCTTTTTCTGCATACGTGGTACTGAGAAATGGAACCAGGGCTTCAGGCATGCTAGGCAAAGTACTCTACCACTGAGCCACCTTCCCAGCCGAGTTGAAAATTTAAACAATGCATTACTTAAAATAATCAGCCCTTCTTGCTAGGCAGTGCTAGGAATCCAGCAGAGACTTTGCTGTACCAAAGTTCTGTTGATGGAGGCTGACATTAAATAAAACGTGTGTACCTAAAACCTTTTGTTGTGGTTGGTAGTGGTAGGTTGTGGGGCTTGAACTCTGGGCCTGGGTGCTCTTCAGCTCAAGGCTAGATCTCTACCACTTGAACGACAGCACCACTTCCGTTTTTGTTTTTTTTTTCTGGTGGTTAATTGGAGCTAACTGTCTTATGGACTTTCCTGGCCAGGGTGGCTTTGAACTGTGATCCTCAGATCTCAGCCTCCTGAGTAGCTAGGATTACAACGTGACCCACTGGTGCCCAGCCGTAAAAATCTTTCTTAAGGAGGCATTTGTTGAGGAACAAGTGTTTGAAAGATAAAGCAACCCAATTATAAAGACCAAAAATTATTAAACATTTTGTGTCCTTACTGGGGTTTAAACTCCGGGCTTGAAAGCTATCCCCTAACTTTTTTCCTGTAGGCCGCTACTCTACCACTCGAACCACAGCTCCACTTCCTGCTTTTTGCTCTTTAATTGGATTTTCCTGCCTGGGATTCTTTTTTTTTTTTGGGTCGGTCATGGGGCTTGAACTTTGGGCCTGGGCGCTATCCCTCAGCTCTTCAGCTCAAGGTTAGCGCTCTACGGCTTGAGCCACAGCACCACTTCCAGTTTTCTAGCTGTTTATTGGAGAAAAGTGTCTCAAGGAGTTTCCTGCCAGGGCTGGCTTTGAAACTGGGGCCTCAGATCTCAGTCTCCTGAGTAGCTAGGATTACAGGCATAAGCCATCAGCGCCCGGCTCTAGGCTGGCTTTGAACCCCAATCCTCCAGATCTCAGCCTTGTGAGTAGCTACAATTACACGCGTGAGCCATCAGCACCAAGGTATTTTCATTATGCAGATGAGAATAATGGACATCGGAGGCCCAGAGGTGGCTAGCACACAGCATCTGGTCTGTTGGTATCTGCTTTACTGCCTGGTCTTGCTAGAGTTGTAGAGCTAGAGTCAGTTCTTGCCTTCCCCAAGTTCTGGGGGGACACATGATGAGACACCATGCAAAAGAACCACAGGACAGCAGATGGAAATTATCAGGGGGATCCAGAACATTCTCCTGGAGGCAGTTAACACTTGGGTGGTATCTAAAGGATGAAGAGCTGCTGTTTGTTTTCGCTATGTAAGTCAAGCCTAGTCAAGAACCCAGGCCTGCCTTGAACTCTCCACTCTCCTGCCTGAGCTAGATCCTAAGTTCTGGGATCATAAGCAAGTGCCACCTGGCCAGGCTAAAATTGATGGATACGGAAAACAAGAGGTTTGAAAACCGACCAATCAGCAGCCTTCACCACCAGGGGGCGTGGCCTGTCCTGGGAAGGGGCGTGGCAGCTGTCAGGGCTGGATTCCCAGGCCTGAGTCTCAAGTTCATTGTATGAAAAATAAGTTTATTGATTATCTTGTCACCACTGAGGAGAGGGCTGAGCTTCGGAGGTCAGAGGCAGCAACTGAAGGCAGAGAATGGAACCCGTACCTCCCCAGTCGGAACCCTGCCCTACCCCACAAGGCTAATATCGCCTGTCTTTCACAACCTGATTTCATCTAGCAGCTCCCACTCCCCCGAAGTCTAGGCTGGGGAGGTGGGGAGGTCCCCACGGGTCAATTCTCTTCAAGTCAAGAACAGGAATTATTAGGGAAAGGGAGGTGTGCAGACCCGATGGGGTCCCCTCCTCACCCCGCAATGGGCGCTATCATAAATAACATAAAATTGATGGCTTTGAAGTCAGGGAGAAGGGAAGCAGCCAGCACTGTACCGGAGAGAAAGGGGCTGGGGGGCCCCCGTCAAGGGGCCTCCCCAGAGAATCAGGCACTAACTAGCACAGGGAGTGGGGCGCTCACTCCCTCGGAGCAGGGGGCCGGGGGGGTGCAGCTGGGGTGCCCCCCCTCTCGACTGCGCCAAGCTAGGGGGTGGGGTGCAGGCAGAAGCGCAGACGCGTTTTCACGGAGATTTCCATCGGCCCCGCCTCTTCCGCGTGGGGAAACCTTTTCTCCTCTTGTGTGGGGGTGAGTCACGGGGTGGGAGTGGAGCTGGGGGTGGCCGAGGGGCCCCTTCCTCACCCCGAGGGGCGATGATCACCCCCCTGGACGCCACCGCAGGCCCCTCCACAACGGTGGCCACCAGGGACACAGGCTCTGGGGTGTCCTCTACTTTGGGGGCGGGTGGGGGTGGAAGAGGCTTGGGAGGTGGGGGTGGGGGTGCCGGCAATGGGTCAACAGGGGTTCCCGGAAGAAGGGGGAGCAGGGCGCTGAGGGCCTCGCTCAGTTTGGCCAGTCCCTGCCGAAGGGTGCCAGCGAGCTCCCGGATGGCGTTGGCAGTCTCCTGCTGAGCGCGCAGGAAGTCCAGGGAGGGCTCTGGGGCTGAGGGCGTGGTAGGGGGCCGAGCAGGAGGGGGTGGGGGGCTGGGGGAGGAGGGTGCCACCTGGGCCACAGATGGGGGCGGAGGGGCGGAGGGCGGTGGAGACAAGGCCAGGCGGGGCAGCTGGACGGTCTGTAGGGCCGGAGGGGGTGGGGACTCACGCTCCTTGGACCTGGCACAGCCCCCTTCCTGGGCAGGGCAGGAGGGTCGGGCCCAGGGCTCTGGGCTGTTGGAGTCCCTCTTGCTGTGAGCTGGTGTATCTGGATTGAGAGAGAGGGAGAAAGATGGACTATGTTGTGTGAATATACAATGTCAGATGTGGGGCTTGAACTCAGGGCCTAAGCTTTTGTGCTCAAAGCTAGCACTCTACCAATTTGAGCCTACAGCACCACTTCTTATCTCCATTGGAGATAAGACTTTCCTGCCCTGTCTGGCTTTGAACTGCAATCCTCAGGTCCCAGTCTCCCCAGTAGGTAGGATTACAGGCCTGAGCCAACTGCACCCAGCCACAATGGCTTATTTATTTGGGTTTGTGGGGCTTGAACTCAGGGCTTGAGCACTGTCCTTGAGCTCTTTTGCTGTAGGGCTAAAACTACCACTTTGAGCAACAGTTCCACTTTCAGTTTTGGACTGGTTAATTGGACATAAGAGTATCTTGGAAATTTTTCTGCCCGGGCTGGCCTTGAAGTGTGATCCTCAGATTTCAGCCTCCTGAGTAGCTAGAATTACAGGTGTGAGCCACCAGCACCTGTTTAATTTTTAACTTTTAAATCATTTTTTATTTAGAATAAGTGATTACATAAATTTCACAGTACTGTGGGATAGTGATACTTAGTTAAAAGTCACAAACATTTTAACTTCCACAAAGCAAATAATCATCATGGTCTATAAAGTTTTGTTTGGAAGCAAGATCTTATAGTCATAAGTCAGCCTCAAATTATAGATCTTCTCCTCTTTGCCTTCTGGGTGGTTAGGATCCCAAGTATATACCACTATACTTGCCCTCACAATACCTTTTTTTTTTTGGGTCCGGTCGTGGGGCCTGAACTCTGGGCCTGAGCGCTGTCCCTCAGCTCTTCAGCTCAAGACTAGTGTTCTACCACTTGAGCCACAGCGCCACTTCCAGCTTTTTTCTTTTTGTTTATGTGGTGCTGAGGAATCGAACCCAGGGCCTCAGGCATACAAGGCAAGCACTCTACCACTGAGCCAACTTCCCAGCCCCTCACAATACCTTTTATCCCTTTTGTGTTTTTCTCTTCTTTATTGGAACACAGCCCCTTTTAAAGCTATACTTGTGTTGGTGGTGTGGTTCAGGTGGTAGAGTGCCAGCCAATGAACAAAACCAAGTAAGTATCCGACAGCAAGTGTAAGTCCTGTTCTTGAGCAAAAAATAAAACTAACTTTGCCAAGTGTAGTGACTCAAGCCTATAATCCTAGCTACTCGGGAGGCTGAGGATCTGAGTCTCAAGCCAGCTGTGCAGAAAAGTCTGAGAGAGGGCTGGGAAGGTGGCTTAGTGGTAGAGTGCTTGCCTTGCATGCATGAGGCCCTGGGTTCGATTCCTCAGCACCACATAAGCAGAAAAAGTTGGAAGTGGCACTGTGGTTCAAGTGGTAGAGTGCTAGCCTTGAGCTGAAGAACTGAGGGACAGCACCCAGGACCCAGAGTTGAGGCCCCACGACCAACAAAAGAAAAAAAAAAGTCTGAGAGACTCTTATGGCCAATTAACCACCTAAAAAGCCAGAAGTGGAGCTGCGGCTCAAGTGGTAGAGCACTAACTAGCCTTGAGCACAAAAGCTCAGGGACAGCACCCAGCCCCAGTCTCTCTCTCCCCCTCTCTCTCTCTCTCTCTCTCTCTCTCTCACACACATCACACACACACACACACAGAGTAATCCAGAATCAAGGCTAAGCAGAAAGGAATCTCTAGTGAAGCCAGCTCTCCACATTTCCTCAGCTTAAAATATGACCTTGACAAACTTTTTAGTTCTGTCTGAATCTGATTCCTGAGACACTGAAATGGAATATACCTCCCAGCGCTGGTGAGCACATCTACAAACCACCACCCTGTCAGGACATGCTATATCAAGCCATTTGCCCACATGAACTCACAACAACCCCCAGAGGGGAGGGCTATTTTTATCTCCCTTTTTACAAATAGATGCTAGATGCTGAAAGTGACTTGACATAACTCACTGTGAAATGACGCCACGGAGGGGCAACATTGTGACTAGCATCCAGGCAGCTGCCCACCATCACACCCTATACAACATTGAATACAACCCTGCCTGAGCCCAGAGTCCCAGCTACTCCGGTCCTAGCTAGGCCTCTCTGGGCCTGACAATTGCTAATTGTGTGTATGTGGGGGGGAGGGGGGGCTTGAATTCACTGCACAAGGGAAAAACCCCTTTCTCCTGGCTTTTTTCTGCCTAAGGCTGATGCTGTACCACAGGAGCCATAGCTCCCCCTTTTGGCTTTTGGGTAGCTGAGTCTTACTTTCTTGCCTGGTCTGGCTTTGAACCAGGATCTCAGAGCTCAGCCTCCTGAATAGCTAAGATTACAGATGTAACCTACCCACAGCTTGGCCTACACTGCCTGTGTTCAGGGTCCCAGGTATGGCCTCCATCTAGCAGGTAGGCCTCCATAAATTTGAGAATCGCTAATTGTGGGACCTTAGATAAGTTTTGCATTTCCCTGACTCTGTGTGTTCACAAACTTATACTTGAACTCAATGGCTGAGCCCTCGACAGTAGTTGGTTATGAGACTTGAACTCAGGGCCTGGGTGATGTCCCTGACCTCCTTTCTGCTCAAGGCTAGTGCTCTATCACACTTACAGAGCTCTCGCACACTCTCTCTCTCTCACACACACACACCAACAGCTGAGGAGGGAACTCAGGGCCTTGCACTGAGCTAAATCCCCAACCCCTTCTTTTCGGTTTTTCTGTGCTTAATTCGAGATAAGAGTCTCAGGACTTTCCTGCTGGGCTGGCCTCCACCCAGCGATCCTCAGATCTCAGCCTCCACAGTAGCTAGGATTATGAAACCGTAAGCATACAATGGGGTAACCCGGCCCATCTCCTGGGTTTGCACAGACTTGATCCCTACACCGTTGGGAGACCAGGGCTGAGGTGAGGTGTGAAAGGAACGCACCTGCCCTGCGATCCTCCCTTCGGTCCTCCAACACACAGCGTGGGGTGGGAGCGGCGGGGGCAGGGAGGTCGTCAGCCCCGGCCCCGGTCACCCCGGGCCCCAGGATGGCGAAGATGGTCTCCTCCTCGGCGGAGAAGGCGTCCTCGGCGGCGGCGGCGGCGGCGGGGCCCCCGGCGCCCTGCGTGGAGTGCGGTACGCGGGCCAGCTTCTCCTTGGTGCGGCGCTTGAAGTCGTTCCAGCGCTTCTGCACCTCCTGGCCCGTGCGCTTCCAGCTGGTGATGCCGTTGATCTTGGCGGCGATGCCTTCCCACACGCGCCGCCGCTCGGCCACGCTCACCCGACGGCTCTGCGCGCCGTACAGCTGCGGGTAGTGGGCGCGCACCTCGCGGATCAGGATCTGGTTCTCCTCGAAGGAGAAGCGGGGCTTGCGCAGCCGGGTGGTCTCCTCCGCGTCCGCGGCCGCCGTCGCCGAGGCCATGGCGCCCCCCGACGCCGCCCACCGGCCGCCTGGCGCATGGGGGGCGCCGGCGCTGCGGGCAGAGGGCAGGGCGAACGGCGCTGGCGGGCGGGGCTCCCGGTCCCCCCGGGGGCTGGTGGGGGCGGGGCAGGGGTCCCCCACTGGCAGGGGCAAGGTATGGGGTAGTCCCGGGACACCCCCCCCCCATCGTGTGCGGATGGGATGGGGATCCAGGAGATCCAGCAGGGCACGGGCGCGGACGGGGCTGGGGTCCTCCCCAGGCACTAGCAGGGGCGGAGTTCGGGGTCCCCCCCTCCGGCACGGCGTGGCCGGGATTCAGGGGGCCCACCCGGACACTGTCGGGGGACGTGGTTCTGGGTCCCCCGGGGCCCTGGCGGAGGCGGGGTTCGGGGGGGATGCCCCCCCGGGTCCCCAGAGAAGGGATTCAGTGGCGCCAAATAGCCGCACGGGCCTCTCCAAACGGAGGGAAACGGGGGTGAGGGAGAATGTGGAGGGAAAGAAGGAAAAGTGGAAAGACAGGGGGTGTCTGCAGAGTTAGAGGAGAACGGGGACACGGGGAGGGGGCCGGAGAGGGAGGGAGGGTGGGGGGGTGTCCCGGGAGCCGAGGAAACGTGGAGACCAGGGGAGAGCATGCCGCACGAAGGGGGGGCAGCCCGAGGCGAGGGGCGCCCGGGGTCGGGGACGGTGGGGCGCCGTACGATCGACGTGAGGAGCCCAGAGAGGGGGGAGACACGGGGGCTCCCAGTGACAGAGACACGGCAGGGGCCGAGAAATGCTAGGGAGTCGGGTCTGCGGGGAACGTGGGGGCGCTGGGATGGCCAGGCATTCCGGGGCGCTCCGGAGATAACGGGGGGGCGGGGAGAGGCCGCGGGAGCAGGGCACAGCGGAGGCTCTCTCTGGGACTCCGGGAGGAGGGAGGGTCTCGGAGGGTGGGAACCGGGACGGGTCACTCACCGGCGCCGCCGCAGCCCCCGCCTGCCGGTGGGTCAGGGCTCGGGCTTCTGCGGCCTCTTCCCTCCCCCCCACCCCTCCCGCCGGCTCCCCTGCCCTCCCCTCCCCTCCCGGGGCCCCGCCCCCCCCCGCCGCCCAAGAGCCAAGGCGCATGCGCAGGCGGCGCCAGCCCCGCTCTCGACGCCCTTCCAGCCCGGGTTTCCATCCCAGTTTGTAACCAGGGCGCAGGCGCGGAACTGCCCTCCTCGGGTTTCCCCCTGCAGGCCGCGGCCGCGCAGCCGCAAACGTAGCGCGGCTCCCGTTTCTCTCCCTTCCCACTCCCCCTCTGCTCCCCCAACACCCGCCCAGCAACCCGGCGCCGCAACGGTGCTTGCGCGCGCGGCCCGAGCTTTGCGCATGCGCACCCGCGCTCTCCCGCGGAAAGTGGTACCCAGGGCTGCATCCCGGCGCTGGCACAGATGCCGGAGAGATGCTAGAGAGCGCGCTGGGACCGAGCGGCGTGCCCACGCTGCCCTCCACGCAAAAGCTTTCCGGCTGAGGGAAAAGGGAGAGAAACTCGGTGGTGGGGGGGAGGGAAAAGCAGTGTCTCCATGACAACTGCGTGGGCGCCTGGGGAGGGGGGGGCAAAGGAAAACTTGGCCGCCGCCTCCCATACTCGCCCCTGCACTGGGGCGATTGGGAACTATCTCCTCCGGCTGAGGCGGGGCGACTTGGGGATACTCCGCCCCAGGCAGATGCAGTAACCATAGCAACTTCCAACCTCCCCATCACTTGGGAGGCCTCTCGCCACCCCTTTACATCATGGAGTAGGGGCTGTGATCCGGGCTCCAGCCCAGTTTTGGGGCTTGAACTCGGCCTGGGCGCTGTCCCTCAGCTCTTCAGCTCAAGGCGAGCGCGCTACCGCTTGAGCCACAGCACCACTTCCGGTTTTCTAGTGGTTTATTGGAGATAAGAGTCTCACGGACTTTCTGCCCGATCGGGCTTTGAACTGCCATCCTCAGATCTCAGCCTCCTGAGTAGCTAGGATGACAGGCGTGAGCCACCGACGCTCGGCTCCAGCCCAGTTTTAAGTGAACACATGTAGCAGGCATGAATCTCGAACACCAGTTAGGTGAGATGGCCGGCAGCACGGTGGAGTGAAGTCTGCTCCAAAATGTGTTGGCAAGCATCCTTCCAGAAGGGTATTCGTTCGCCGGCGCTTCCCTCCGCGAACAGCCAGGTGCAATCAATGTGAAAGGTAAAAACTCCCTATCAGCGGGCGCCGGTGGCTCACGCCTCTCATCCTATTTACTCAGGAGGCTTAGATCTGAGAATCGCAGTTCAAAGCCAGCCAAAGCAGAAAAGTCCATGAGACTCTTACCTTCGATAAACCACCAGAAAACCGGACGTGGCGCTGTGGCTCAAGTAGTAGAGTGCTAGCCTTGAACTGAAGAGCTGAGGGACAGTGCCCAGGCCCAGAGTTCAAGCCCCACGACTGACAAAAACAAAAAAACTTATGTGTGCGTGTATGTCATGTTAGATAGGTAGAGGGTTCTGTTTTATCCCCCCACCTCCTGTTGCAGACAATCGAACTGAGTTATCTGCGCCCCCAATTCCTTTATCTTTAAATTCCTTTATCTTTAAAATAAGGTGACTAGTAGAAGATAGTGTCTGAATTGAAGGAGGTCGGTGCATGCGCAGTCCCTACTGAATTCAGGGGGCGGGAATTCAGGAGACGGTGAGGGCACTTTGGCCTGGAGCATTGGGAGTGAGACTGTGCAGCGCCACCATTCTGCATGAGCCCTGAATGGAGAAGGATGTCCTCTGATTCTGGCTTTAATGGAATTCGTGGGGGGGGGGCATTACTTGACAGAACTGATTGGTTGGGGAGAGTGTGGGTGGAAAATGATTGCTTAGTGAAGAATTGTCTAATAGTTTAGGCTAGAAAGTGGTGTCTACCATCAGGGTCCTGCCTCAGAAGATGAGATGTGAGAGGAAGGGAAGGATGGGGGATGACTGCGTGCCATTGTCCTGATTAATGTAAAGGATAGAGCTGAGCAGGGCCGCTGGTGGCTCAGGCCTGTGAGCCTAGCTATTTAGGAGGCTGAGATCCGAGAATGGTGGTTCAAAGCCAGCCCGGGCAGGAAAGTCCATGAGACTCTGATCTGCCCTGAACCGCTCAGAAAACCAGAAGTGTACTCGTGGCTCAAGTGGTAGAGTTCTTGCCTTGAGCTGAAGAGCTGAGGGACAGCGCCCAGGTCCAGAGTTCAGGCCCCACGACCAAAAAAAAAAAAAAAAAAAGAAAGAAAGAAAAGAAAAAAAGTGATAGAGCTGACAGATCTTCTGGGCTACAGAAGGGTCAGTTCAAATTTACCCAGACTTACGTTCTTATTAAGCAAGCACAAATATTTGAGTTGGGATTTCAGGACAGAGAGAGAGAGACAGAGAGAGAGAGAGAGAGAGAATATGCAATAGGATCCTAAAACTCATGGCCTTGAGCTCTAATTGGCTTCTTTGCTGGAGGCTGGTGCTCTACCACTTAAGCCACACCTTCATCTCCAGCTTTTTACACACCTTCATTTCCAGCTTTTTATAGGTTAGTTGGAGGTAACAATCTTACAGCTCAAGCTGGCTTTGAACTGTGATCTTCAGATCTCAACCTCCTAACTAGGATTTTAGACAAAAGTTTGGGGAGGGGGGGCTCAGTGGTAGAGTGCTTGCCTTGCATGCATGAGGCCCTGGGTTCCAATCCTCAGCACCACATAAGCAGAAAAAAGCAGAAAGTGGTGCTAAGGCTCAAGTGCTAGCCTTGAGCTGAAGAGCTAAAGTACAGTGCCCAGGCCCAGAATTCAGGCCCCATGACCGATTAAAAAAAAAAAAAGTTTAGGCAGGCTGGGAATGTGACTCAATGGTAGAGTGCTTGCCTAGCATGTATGAAGCCCTGGGTTCGATTCTTCAGTACCTACCACATAAGCAGAAAAAGCCAGAAGTATAGGCTGGGAAGGTGGCTCAGTGGTAGAGAGCTTGCTTTGCAGGCATTGAGGCCCTGGGTTCGATTCCTCAGCACCACATAAGCAGGAAAAAAAAAAGCTGGAAGTGGCGCTGTGGCTGAAGTGGTAGAGCGCTAGCCTTGAGCTGAAGAGCTGAGGGACAGCGCCCAGGCCCAGAGTTCAGGCCCCACAACCAGCAAAAACAAAACAAAACAAAAAGAGGTTGTTTTTTTTTTGAGGGGGGGGAAGAGGTAGTTCTGGGGTTTGAACTCAGGGCCTTAGTGCTGTCCTTGAGCTTCCCCCCCCCATTTCGGGCTTTTTGGTGGTTAATTAGAGATAAGAGTATCATAGATTTTCCCACTCCAGCTGGCTTCAAACTGCGATTCTCAGCTCTCAGTCATGTTGGTAGCTAGGATTATACTCATGAGCCACCAGCAAAGAGGTATTTCAACTCTTTCAGTATTAGAGATTGAACCCAGGGCCTCGTGCTAGCTGGACAAGCATGAATTATACCTCCTGAATTACACCTCCATCCCTAGATAAGAGGTCTTAAACTGATGTGGAAGTTCACACCTATAGTCTCAGCACTTGGGAGGCTAAGGCAGGAGATTGACTGCTTGAGGCTAGCCTGAGCTACAAACAGCGTTCCAGCCAGCACGACTACATAGGTAGATCTTTTTTTTCCCCTCGAGCTTGAACTCTGGGTCTGGGCGCTGCCCCTCAGCTCTTCAGCTCAAGGCTAGCGCTCTACCACTTGAGCCATTGTGCCCTCTTCCGGCTTTTTCTGTATATGTGGTGCTGAGGAATCCAACCTAGGGCCTCATGCATGCGAGGTAAGTACTCTACCTCTGGGCCACCTTCCCAGCTCCATAGGTAGATCTTGTCTCAAACAAAAGAGCAGCCTAGAACTTGTGGCTCCTGCGTCCTATAATCCTAGCTACTCAGGAGGCCGAGATCTGAGGATCATGGTTTAAAACCAGCCCGGGCAGGAAAGTCCATGAGACTCTTATCTCCAATAAACCACCAAAAAACCGGAAGTGGCGCTATAGCTCAAGTGGTAGAGTGCTCACCTTGAGCTGAAGAGCTGAGGGACAGTGCTCAGGCCCAGAGTTCAAGCCCCACGACCAACAGAAAAAAAAAGCCAGAAGTAGAGCTATGGCTCAAAGTGGTAGAGTGCAAGCCTGGAGCACAAAGCTAAGGGACAGTGCCCAGGCCATGAATTCAAGCCTCAAGACCAACAAAATAAATAAATAATGGAGGAGGCTGTCTCTCAGAATAGAACCCCAGACAGGACAAGCCCAATGAACATCAGATCCAGTCCACAGGTAACACAGACCTCATCCTGCCTGGCCTCCCACTTCCTAGGACTTAGGAGCTCTTATGGCAATCCCTGTATCCTCAGCCAGCTTCCAAGGGCTGGATAAGGATAGACAAACAGACAGGCCTCGAAGGACAACTCAAAAGGCTCTTTATTTTTGGCCGGCTCAGCCCTGAGCACCAAACAAAACAAAAATCAAGACTTGAGGCTCTTCTTTGCCCCTCACATAAAACCTAGGCAGCTGCACCGAGTGCACCTTGCGAGTTGAAACTTGGCTGGTTTAAGTACAAGCCACCACGATTGAAGAGCTGGTCGCGATGCAGAGACGCAGCGCCCCTCACCCCCTGGGAGAAGGACCCCTGGGTGGCTTGGATTTTGGAGAGGAGTGAAATGGCAATGAAAATGTACAGAACAACTAACAAGGAGGGAATGGGGGGAGGTGGGAGGTCAGCTCACCCAGAGGTGCCCTGCGAAGCCATGCCACCCTTGTTCAAGGTCCCTTCTGTCCTCCTTCCCAGATCCTGACAGATGGCCACGCGCCAGGGGCAGGGGAGAAATGAAGGTCCACAGGTGATCGTGAAGATGGCGGAAGACTTCAAGCCAGGCTGTCATCTCGCAAGTTCAAAGAGGCAAGGGATGAGGGTCATCATCGTGTCCAAATTCCTGGGGGGAAGGGGAAGGGGTCCCATCTGGCTGAGGAATCAATGATCGCCGCCACTCCCCAAGGCATGGACGCTCAGGAGTCTTATGAAGTGTCACCAGCAGTGGCGTCCCCCAAAAGGCTGAAGATCCATGAAGCGTGAGGCCAGAGGGAACCCCCGGGGTGGGGGTGTACATGATCCACAGGGCAATGGACAGACTGGCCTGGCTGCCTGCAGCCTCCAGCATTCCAGTACCCAGTCAAGATGGGGGCGGGGGGCTGGAGATCCAGGGTAAGGTGACAGGTGGCAGAAGAGAGGGGTTTGGAACTTAGAACAAGGAAGATCGGGGTGTGGGGGGGAATGAAGGGGTGGTGGTAGGAAACTCCCCGTCCCCCCCCCACAACCCTCAGCGTTTGACTTTGCGGCCAGCTGAGTTGCGTCCACTTCGCCGATAGAGCGACTGCTCATTGCCGTTGAGGGGACAGTACTTGAGCGTGTGCGCCTGGCCCCCGGTGGCCCCACACAGGGGACACACGTAGTGCCTCAGGATGGGGCACACCACGGTGCCCTCCCGGGTCTTCAGCTGGTGGGACGTGTAGACATGCCGCGATTCTCCGTTGTGTTTGCAAAAGTTACACAGAGTGGGCAACTCTGCACAGGCCCCTGGCCCCTGATCTTGCTTGGGTCGCAGCTGGACTTGGGGTCTTGACTCCTCGGCCTCCTCCTCCGGGACCTCCAGCTTGGAGCTCCGATGATGTTGAACCAGTTCCAGGACAACCTGGTTGAGGTTGAGGTAATCCTTCCACATGTCGAAGGCCGGAAGATCCATGAAGAGGCTGGCGATGGGCCTGGTGGGAGGAAGAGACAGGGGCTGGAGTGCAGGAGCAGCAGGTGTTTCTGTGGAGCAGAGGGGAGCTGCATCCCTTTTATACTCCAAAGACCCTTCTAAGTAAAAGGTGGAGCTTAGGATTTAAAGTGCCCACTCCCAGACCAGAAACCCCACGTGATTCTAATCTCCCACAGAGATGAGGAGGGAGGAGGGCCTTCCAGCCCTCTACTCTCTACGCCTCAGTTTCCCCTCTGCTCATCTTAGACCCAGGCCAGTAATTCTACCCCTCATGTTCTCCTTACTCTCCCTTTCTCCAAGACCGCAGGGACTGCTCTGTCTACACTCCTGAGCCAGTTACCTGCCGGATCTGATCGATTCCTCACCACAATGTAACACGGGGAAACAGATCTGTTCCCATTTTAGAGATGAGCAGCAGCTCCAGAAACAGAGACCTGCCCAGTGGCACACAGCTGGCAACTGGCAGAAATGGGTTCTGTAGGACCAAAGCAAGTCCTCCTTAAACTTTTCTAAGGTCGATGGCTCATGCCTGTAATCCTAGCTACTCAGGAGGCTGAGATCTGAGGATTGCGGTTCAAGGCCAGCCTGGACAGGAAAGTCTGTGAGATTCTTTATCTCCAATAAACCACACGGGAAACCAGGAGTGGTGCAGTGGCTCAAGTGGTAGAGCGCTCGCCTTGAGCTGAGAAGCTGAGGGACAGCGCCCAGGCCCAGAGTTCAAGACCCATGACGGGGAAAAAAAAAAAAAAGAGGTTCTTAAAAAAGTGTGTGTGTGTGTGTGTGTGTGTGTGTGTGTGTGTGTGTGTGATGGAGCCCTTGTATTTTTGTTTGTTTTGTTTTTGGTCCATTGTAGGGCTTGAACTCAAGGCCTAGGCTCTGTCCCTGAGCGCCTTCCAGTTTTCTGGTGGTTCACTGGCAATACAGCATTTCGTAGATTTTTCTGCCAAGGGCTGGCTTTGAACTGTGATCCTCAGATCTTAGTCTCCTAAGTAGTGAGGATGACAGGCGTGAGCCAATAGCACTCAGCTCCTTAAGTTTTTTTTTTTGGTCCGGTCGTGGGGCCTAACTCTGGGCCTGGGCGCTGTCCCTCAGCTCTTCGGCTCAAGGCTAGTGCTCTACCACTTGAACCACAGCACCACTTCCGGTTTTTTCTTTTTGCTTATGTGGTGCTGAGGAATCGAACCAGGGCCTCATGCATGCAAGGCAAGTGCTCTACCACTGAGCCACCTTCTCAGCCCAAGTTTTTTTTTTAAATCAACCACTGAGTTAAACAGCCTCAATCCCAGACCAAAGAGCCCGACTGGTACAAGTACTGTGGTTCCCAGCACTTGATAAACATCATCTGTACCCAATGGTCACTTCTATCCACTTGAGAAAGACAGGCAGCTCAGAGAGGTTAGGAATGTCCTCAGGGTCACACAGCCATGGCAGAGTTGGAATGGAAACCCCCACAGCCTCTAGGGAATTGTTACAAGGGGCAGAGGACCTTGGCAGTGAGTGGGCTACAAATCCACCCAGACTGGAGTTCAAACCTGGCCTAACCACCTGCTTGGGCAAGTAGCTGTGACCTGGGGACTTAGCCTCTCCCAGCCTCAGTCTCCTCATCTGTTACTTGAAGATGACATCAATATGTACCCCAGCCTCAGGGACTGTGCTTGTGGTGACAAAGCCCCCAACCGTAGAGCCTAGTCCCTGGGGCATTCTCATGAACCAAGATCATTAAGACCATGTAGGCTGAGTAGTCACCTAGCATGTGCAAAGGTCCTGTGTTCCAGAAGGAACACTGGGGGTAGGGGGGTGGGAAATAAGCCATTAGAAAAGTCCCATCATGCAGACAAATGAAAGGGAAGATCAGAGAGGTAGGGAGAAGGGCTGACAAATCCATATGGTTGGCCTGGGAGGCTTCAGGGAAGTTTCCAGATTGTGTCTCAGATACCCTCTTGATCCTGGGACTCCACTGGCTCAAGAGAAAGCAGACAAGCTTAGAAGGGACTGGCAAGGTAAAGGCCAGTGGGAAAGGTAGGGGTTATCCACTTCCAGGGTGCCTCAGTTTCCCACAGCCTTCCATCAGTGGACCTCCTCAAGAAGATAAGAGACTGCAGGAATAGAGGCCCACAGAGTGGAGGTCTACAAGAAGCAGAGGCTACTTTCTGTTGTAGAAGACCATGATGGAGGGGAGGATCTCTCTGGGCCAAGAGCTCAATAGGAAGCCAAGGTGGCCTTCAGTTGGAGGAGGAAGGGACCCACGCAGTGTACAGCAGAGCCTGGCCCCAGTGGCTCAGTGCTGGTCACTGTGTCTGAGACCCAAGGACAGACAAGGCCTTCAAGGTTCATGGCAATCCCCCCTCCCCCCTTCACAGTTGCACCTGTGATTGGCAGACGCCCAGGTTCTGTGGCCAGTCTGTCTTCTTTCTTTTTCCATTATTTGCCTCTCCACACACCCCCACCTCACCCTTAATTAATTGTTTTGTTCTAGGAGTCTTGTTATTTGGCCGGGGCTGGCCTTCCTCCCGCTCCAGTCTTCGGGGAGAAAGACACACCTCTTCAGGTAAGCCCTCTTCCTCCCTGCAGCCACCGGGGAAAGCGCTGGAGAGCCGGAGGTGAAATGGACAAGAAACTGACCAGCCCTACTGTTTACTCCTGGAGGCCGCCCCCGCCCCTGCCCAGGCCACGCCCACCCGCCGGCCTGGGGGCGCTGGGTGTTTACTTAGGGGATGTTTTTTCTGTTTCAGCCCAGAAAACAGCACTTGGGGGTGTTCAGAGACGCTTGATGGGGGGGGGGGGGGGAGAAAGATCAGGGGAAAAGAGACCCCCTGAGGGCCATTGAAGACATTGTGTGTGTGTGTGTCTGTCTGTCTGTCTGTCTGTCTGTCTGTGTGTCTGTGCCTTGAGCTCAGGGACAAGGCACTGTCCCTTTTTCACAGAAGGGTGGGGCTCTACCACTTGAACAATAGTTCCACTTGCAGCTTTTTGATGGTTCATTGGAGATCAGAGTCTCCTCCGGCTTATCTACCCAGGCTGGTCTTGAATCTCCATCCTCAGATCTCAGCCTTCTGAGTGGTTAGGATTACAGCTGTCAGCTACCAGAGCCCAGTTAGACCTAACTTTTTTACCCAAGACTGTCCTCAGATCTCAGTCCTCCTACCTAAGGCCTCCTGAGTATCGGGGAAGACTTTCATGAACCGTGTTTGAGGCAGGATCACACACAGTATCTGCAGTGTGGGCTAATATTTCTCCATTTACTATGGGGTCATCTCCTGTAAGCGCACTGTAAATCCAAAATCTTAAAGTCAAAAATTCATTGCAGCCAGGAGCTGGAGCGAAGCTGAAATCTGAGGATTGTAGTTCAAAGATAACCCCGACAGAAAAGTCCCTGAGTTTCTTATCTCCAATTAACCACCCAAAAACTGGAAGTGAGGCTGTAGCTCAAGTGGTAGAGCACTAGCCTTTGAGCAAAGGAAGCACAGGTACAACATCCAGGCCCTGAGTTCAGGCCCCAGGACCTGCAGGAAAAAAAAAAATGTATTTAAGTCAGGCACAGTACCTGATCGACTGTAATCCTAGTTACTCAGGAGGCTGAGACCTGGAGGATCATTGTTTGAAGTTAGCCAGGGCAGAAAAATCCCCAAAACCCTGTTAGTACTTCATCAACAAAAAGCCAGACTGAGTAACCAAGGAGACTCAAGTGTGAGGCCCTGAGTTCAAAAACCCCAGTACCAACACACACACAAAGCTGTAGTAAAACATCCTTGAGCCAGGCACCAGTGGCTCATGCTTGTTTCTGTTTCTGAAATTGTTACTGTGTATCCTCAACTGGATCTTCTGAGTCTCACAAGGTTCTTGCCAGGTCAGGTCATAATTATAAAGGGCCCCAGACACCTGTGCACAGAGCTGACCTACAAGAGGCTAAAATCTGAGGATTACAGTTCAAAGCCAGCTGGGGTAGGAAAGTACATTGAGACTTATTTTTTTTTTGGTCGGTTGTAGGGCTTGAACTCTGGGCTTGAGCGCTGTCCCTCAGCTCAAGGCGAACGCTCTACTACCTGAGCTACAGCACCACTTCCGGTTTTCTGGTGGTTTATTGGAGATAAAAGTTTCACAGACTTTCCTGCCTGGGCTGACTTTGAACCGTGATCCTCAGATCTCAGCCTCCTGAGGAGCTAGGATGACAGGCGTGAGCCACCGCCTCCCGGCTCTGCCTGGGCTGACTTTGAACCGAGATCCTTAGATCCTGAGTAGCTAGGATGACAGGCGTGCCAACTGGTGCCTAGCTGCATTGAGACTTTTTTTTTTTTTTTTGGTCGGTCGTGGGGCTTGAACTCTGGGCCTGGGCGCTGTCCCTCAGCTCTTCAGCTCAAGGCGAGCGCTCTACCACTTGAGCTACAGCGCCACTTCCGGTTTTCTAGTGGTTTATTCTCACGGTCTCTCCTGCCCAGGCTGGCTTTGAACCGCAATCCTCAGATCTCAGCCTCCTGAGTAGCTAGGATTACAGGCGTGAGCCACCAGTGCCCGGCTTACATTGAGACTTTTATCTCCAATGAATCACCAGAAAACCAGAATTGGTGCTATGGCTCCAAGTGACAGAGACTAGCCTAAAACAAAAGAACTCAGGGATGGAACTTTACCATTTGAGCCACAGTGCTACTTCTGGTTTTCTGGTGGTTCATTCGAGGTAAGAGTCTCATGGACTTTCCTGTCCAGGCTGGCTTTGAACCACGAACCTCAGATCTCAGCCTCCTGAGGAGCTAGGATGACAGGTGTGAGCCACTGGCATCTGGCTTTTTTTTTTTTTTTTTTTTAATGTTTAACTACCAAACATGTTTATTTCTACCATTTGGGATAAGGGGGTGTTTTCATCTCTTTAATTTTTTTGTTGGAACACTGTGAATCTGCTTTCCAAAATCATTCACAGACACTGCTTCAATCTATTTCTGTTGCTATAACAACATACCAGAGACTGGGTCACTTATAAACAACAAAAG